TAGGTCATACTTTGAAAACCTGTACTCCACAAAATTCGAAAATTTAAAGGAAATGGATGACTTCCTGGACAGCTATCATTTGCCAAAACTAAATCAAGAACAGATAAGCAATTTAAATAGACCTATAACCCCTATGGAAATAGAAGCTGTCATCAAAAGTCTCCCAACCAAAAAAAGTCCAGGTCCAGATGGCCTCAGTGCAGAATTCTACCACAAATTCAAAGAACAGCTTATACCAATTCTTCTCAAAGTGTTCCACACAATAGAAGCAGAAGGGTCTTTGCCAAACTCTTTCTATGAGGCTTCAATAACCTTGATCCCCAAGCCACACAAAGATACAACCAAGAAAGAGAACTTCAGACCAATATCCCTCATGAACATTGATGCAAAAATACTCAATAAAATACTGGCAAATCGGATCCAAGAACACATCAAAACAATCATTCACCACGATCAAGTAGGTTTCATCCCAGGGATGCAGGGATGGTTTAACATACGAAAATCCATCAACGTAATCCACCATATAAACAAGCTGAAAAACAAAAATCACATGATCATCTCACTAGATGCTGAAAAAGCCTTTGACAAAATCCAACACCCCTTCATGATAAAGGTCTTGGAGAGATCTGGGATAACAGGGACATACTTAAACATAATAAAAGCCATATACAGTAAACCAACAGCCAGCATCAAACTAAATGGACAGAAACTCAACGCAATTCCTCTAAAATCAGGAACAAAACAAGGCTGTCCACTCTCTCCATACCTTTTCAACATGGTACTTGAAGTTCTAGCTATTGCCATACGACAACAAAGGGGGATCAAGGGGATACAAATTGGGAAGGAAGAAGTCAAACTTTCACTGTTTGCAGACGATATGATAGTTTACATCAATGACCCAAAGAACTCTACCAGGGAACTCTTAGAGCTGATTAACACCTTCAGCAAAGTGGCAGGTTACAAGATCAACTCAAGAAAGTCAGTAGCCCTACTATATACAGATGATAAAAGGGCTGAAAGAGAAATCAGAGAAACATCACCCTTTACAATTGCCACAAACAACATAAAATACCTTGGGGTAACGCTAACCAAACAAGTGAAAGACCTGTATCGTAAGAACTTTGAATCTTTAAAGAAAGAAATTAAAGAAGCCCTCACAAAATGGAAAGATCTCCCATGCTCTTGGATAGGTAGGATCAATGTAGTAAAAATGGCAATCCTGCCAAAAGCAATCTACAGATTCAATGCTATCCCCATTAAAATCCCAGCACAATTCTTCACAGACCTTGAAAGAACAATAATCAATTTTGTATGGAAAAACAAAAGACCCAGGATAGCCAAAACAACCCTGTTCAACAAGGCAACGTCCGGAGGCATCACTATCCCTGACCTCAAGCTCTATTATAGAGCTATAGTCCTGAAAACAGCTTGGTATTGGCACAAAAATAGACAGGCAGACCAATGGAATCGAATTGAAAATCCGGGTATTAACCCACACACGTACGAACATCTGATCTTTGACAAAGAAGCTAAAAATATACAATGGAATAAAGAAAGCATCTTCAACAAATGGTGCTGGCATAATTGGAGACTGGCATGTAGAAGAATGCGGATCGATCCATGTTTATCGCCATGCACAAAACTTAAGTCCAAATGGATCAAAGACCTCAACATAAATCCAGCCACACTGAACCTCTTAGAAGAGAAAGTGGGTGGTACCCTTGAACGAATTGGTACAGGAGACAGCTTCCTGAACATAACACCAGTAGCACAGACAGTGAGATCAACAATTAATAAATGGGACCTACTGAAACTGAGAAGCTTCTGTAAGGCAAAGGACACAGTCAGCAAGACAAAAAGGCAGCCCACAGAATGGGAAAAATATTCACTAATCCCACATATGACAGAGGGTTGATCTCCAAAATTTACAAAGAACTCAAGAAGCAAGTCTCCAAAACAGCAAAGGACCCAATTAAGAAGTGGGCTGCAGAACTAAATAGAGAGTTTTCAATAGAGGAGTCTAAAATGGCTGAGAGGCACTTGAGAAAGTGCTCAACATCCTTAGCCATCCGGGAAATGCAAATCAAAGCAACTTTGAGATACCATCTCACTCCTGTCAGAATGGCTAAAATCAAAAACACCAATGACAATTTATGCTGGAGAGGATGTGGTGAAAGGGGGACACTCCTCCATTGCTGGTGGGAGTGCCAACTGGTTCAGCCACTTTGGAAAGCAGTATGGAGATTCCTCAGAAAAATGGGAATAAACCTACCACAAGACCCAGCAACTCCACTCTTAGGCATATATCCAAAAGATGCCCATTCATATAACAAAGATGTCTGTTCCACTATGTTCATAGCAGCTTTATTTGTAATAGCCAGAACTTGGAAGCAACCTAGATGTCCCTCACCCGAAGAGTGGATAGAGAAAATGTGGTACATCTACACAATGGAGTACTATTCAGCAGAAAAAATAATGGAATCATGAGATTCGCAGACAAATGGATGACACTAGAAGAAACCATCCTGAGTGAGGTAACCCAGTCACAAAAAGAGAAACATGGCATGTACTCTCTCATATATGGATTTTAGACATAGATCTGGGGAGTGCCAGCCTACAATCCTATGGCCAGAGAGTCTGGGAAACAGAAACTTCATTTAGTGGCTGGTTAAGTAGTGAGCTGAACTCAAGAAAGCCAGTATCAGAGAGGGAGGACTGATGATCAAAGGGATTAAGACTGGGCTGGTTTAACCCCCAGAAACAGCTGACCAGACAAAGGTTAACTCTTGAATCCCAGGCATCAGCCTGGGAATCCAGCATGGGACTGATCAAGACCCCCTGAATCTGGGTGTCAGTAAGGAGGCCTAGGTAATCTATTGAGCCTTGGACAGCAGATCAGTACCCATCCCAAGTATAAACACGGACTCTGGACTCCCATAGAACAATGTGAGGTGCACTCTCACCCTGAACTCTTGGGGAAGGGTCTAGGCCCTGCCCTATATGAAATGACAGACTATGGACACCCCCATGGAGGGCCTCACCCTGGGGGAATGAGGGGATAACGGGGGGGGGGGGATGGGGGGAGGGCACGGGAGGAGGGGAGGGAAAGGGAGAGGGACCTCGAACTGACTTGTGAAGCAACCTTGTTTCTTATCTAAATTTAAAATGGAAAATAAAAAAAAATAATAAAAAAAAATAAAAAATAAAAAAAAATAAAAAGTAAAGTAATCAGTTGAAAAAAAAAATAAACACAGTGAACATTTCCTGGGGTTCATTTGAGGTAAATAAAACATAAAATACAAAAGTAATATATGTGTATGAAAGGGATCTGATTCTAATAAAGTCATCGAACTATCAATTGTGTCCTGTGCCCAGAGGAAGTCTCCAGGGGAAACATGTCACACTCTGTGGTTATTAAGGGTTGGTTCTAAGCCTCTGTTTTCCTTGTCGGTGAGGTTACATTTATGATGTAATCATCAATGTCAGAAAAAGAATAACATTTATCAAATGCCTGATGTATTCCATGCTTGTGTAGATGATGGGCTCAAAGACAAAGAAGTCACTGGAAAGGAGTAGTGGCTCTTTAAACCCATATATGTTTAGCCTATTTGTCTAACACTCAGATTGGATACTTGTTCAAAAAAGTTCTTTTTCGTTTTTGTCAACTTCATTGTTTTCCCTTTAAGAGAGGGATTGGCAGGGATTACCTACATTTCACATGCTTTAGAAAGTAAATAGAGGAACCAAACCGGAGTGAGAGTCAGAAAAGGGAAAACACTATTGGAGAAACTACACGAACTGCCCCCAGGAGCATGAGGTGGGTGGTGATACCCTGGCCAACATGATAGCAGACACACCCTTGACCCAAGGGAAATGGGAATAGAATAAACCACATGAGATCACACTGAACAGTACTTTCCTCTCTAAAGCTTTTAGAGAGAGAGAGAGAATGTATGTGTGTGTTAGGCACTTTTCTGGGCATGCTTGAAGACCTGAGCTCACACTCCTAGAATCATATAAGAAGGCTGGGTGCAGTGTTGCACATCTGCAGTCTCAGTACTCCTATGGTGAGATGGGAAGCTGAGACAGGAGAATCCCCTGAGCTCAGGAAACAGTGAGCCTGGTGTACACAGCCATGAACAACAAAGAGGAGAATCTGTTTCAAACAAAGTGGAGGGTGAGGTTGGATGCTGAGGTTGTCTTCTACCTCCACAGGTACACTGTGTCACACATGTGTCTGTACACACACACACATACATACACACACAAATAGGGAAATAATGAAATAGAGAAAGTTTGGAAGAGTGTGTGTGAGTGTGTGTGTGTGTTTGTGTGGTATACACACAAATAAGTGCAAGATGTAAGCATGTTATAATAATAGAATATAGCATAATTTAAGTGAGAAGGTGAGAGTCCTTGATTTTTCTCTTTTATTGTCAAGACACAGTGGCATCAATGACACCAAAGAGGTGTGGACACCCACCTTTGTCCTCCATTCTGTGAATGCACAGTGGTGATGGAGGTGAATGGCACTGTGGGTCCTAGAGAAGGGCTTAGTGATGGGATTTTAAGTTAATGGACGCTATACTTTGACCCCTGGCTGAAAGTTGAGTTTCTTTTTCACCAAAGTTGCAAGCGAAGGCAAAAAGAGCTAGTTTGAGTTTGCTTTCACCTCATGTAACTCTCATTTGCTTTCTCTGTGGTTGCATTTTCCAGCCTGGGATATAGGGAATGTCTGACCTATTAAAACAAAGCAGAGTGCTATGGTAATTAAATAGCTAATTTTAGACCCATAACTACTTTTCTGCCAATGACCTGAGCATTTCAGACTGAGGTTTTGGAGCTATCTAGCTAATTGTAGTTATGATTCAATTTCATCCATCTATCCATCCACACTACACACTTGATGACTTGGCCATGGTGGCCTTGGGCAGAGCTTAGCCAGAGGGAGCCTGGGCTGGCATTAGTTATTGACAAAAGACAAATATGTGGTTTCTTACAATCTGTCGTGATTTCGTAGGGAGAGTTGAGTCTGGCATCTCCGCAGGGGGATGTGCTCACATAGAGATGGAAGAGGATGTTTTCTCGAAGCCTGTAGCCTCCTTCCTTTAAACGAATGAATATTGATCTCTCGGAGTCCTCTCGATGCTTGCTATGGACACAAAGAGGATGTAGGTCACTTATGACAAAACAAATGAATATGTTCCTATAGGTGCTTGCTTTTGTCTTGTTTTGTGCAGTTAGCAGTTCCCCAATTTTTACCTCTTCCATGCTCATATGTTGTTTGCCCCCTGCATGAACACTTTGGGAAAAGGCCACAGTAAAACTACCTGGGAACAAACACAATCCACAGAAATGTTTCTATCTCCACTCTCCCGACCATTCACACTTTAGCGCTCTCTCTCTCTCTCTCTCTCTCTCTCTCTCTCTCTCTCTCTCTCTCTCTCTCTCTCTCTCTCTCCCTCCCTCCCTCCCTCCCTCCCTCCCTCCCTCCCTCCCTCCCTCCCTCTCTTCTCTCTCTCTCTGTCTCACGCACGTGTGTTTGTATAGGTCAGAGGACAACTCCAGGTGCTACTCCTCAGGTACCATTCATCTTCTTTTGACAGAGTTTCTCATTGGTCTGGAACTCACCATGTAGGCTAGGCTGACTGGTGAGCCTCAGGGTCTGCTTGTCTCTGCATCCTCAATGCTGGGACTTCAAGCATATGTCACTATGCCTGACTTTTTTTTATAGGTATGAATTCTGAGTGTCATACTCTGGTGCTTGTTATGTATGATAATCACTTTACAAATTGAACTATCTCTCCAACCACTATGTTTTAGGCTTATCTTTTACAATCTCGAACCTAGCATAATAAAACCTTAATCCTCTGTGCCTGCAAGGCCCCATTCATGGAGTGTCCTGGAGCACTACTGACTACAGTAGTCTAAGTGGGTACTAGTGCAGTACAAGGAAAGGGGATTTTAAACAGTGTCTGAGCTTGGGTACCAATAAACTAGGTGGAAACAGCAAACAATGCAGTATTGGCTTTTCTATCATGCAGGGTAGATCTAGAACGAACCCATGCCTCCTAACCTTGGAGCTTTTTGTCCACTTGCTTCAAGAAAACCTTCTTCACAGTCCTTAACCCCACATCTGAGCAGCCCTGCCTCCCCAGAAAGGGATGATACCACAATAGGCACTGAACAGCTGAGCTGTGCTTTTACTCCCAGATCCCTCTGCAAGCCCCTGGCGATCTGCTTTCTGCCATTCTTGCTGTTTGTACAAGTTCTGCCCCATTGGTGATGGACCTTGAGATCTCATAGGCAGGAGAATGGACATTGTGTCCCCAGGAAGCCCTTAATACTGTTACAATCTCATGCGCTACCACCTCCTTTCTTGTGCCCAAGTGGACTCCTCCATCATGTGTGAATTTTCTTCCACAGCCCTGGGAGCAACTGCATCCAGTCTTTGTCCCCCAGTGCAGAACCAGACCCATTGAGGGGACCCTTACTTGTTCTCGAGGTCCTTTGCAGTCATTGAGGGTGTGGCTGTCTTTGACTTTTCCAGATAACTGTGCAGTGCTTAATATATATCCAAGTCTGGGCAAAGTTGGCTGGAATGTCCTCTGTGACACATACAGGAAGTAGGGGGACTGGAGAAAATTTGCAACTGAGTAGTTGATATTCTGTAGAAATCCTTCCCCACATTTTGAGAGATTTCCAGCTTTTGTCTATTCCATTTGGCCCCTCACCCGGCCTCCTGGAACTGATGTGGCAATACATCATGCTGCTATGCGCTACTCAAGAAAAATTAATTGGGTGTATTAAGGTATTGCCCTTATTCGAGTCTGTTTGGCATATATTTAAGCCTTTTCCCCTTTGCGTGACTTCTACACATTCTAACAGGCTCATGTGAATGAGCCATTCTCTAAAACCCCTCTGAGATGCCATTATTAGTGGATTCAAGGGACCCTGTTTCAAATGACAAGAAAAGGACAGCTGGAAGATACAAGGAAAGAACACTGACAAAGAGACCCACAGCAGTTAAGCTACTGTGACTAACTTGCTTCAGGAATGTTCATGAAGTGTCACATGATAAAATCTTCCTGTGTTTCTGCTGGAGTTAAATGTGTCTTCCAGCTTATGTGGCAGCCCCCTTTTTCCTGATGGCTGCCATTATGATACCAGAAATTTCAGCACTGGAGCACGTTTCTTAGCAACTCTTCACTCTGTATATGGCAGGCTTAGGAGATGGCTTGGTTGGCAAACATGAAGATACAAGTTTGTTTCCTAGAATCTATGTTTAAAAAAATCCAGGATGCTGGCATGTGCTTTTGATCTCACTGCCAGGGAGGCAGAGAGACCAGACTGGTTCCCATTCCTCATTGGCTAATCAGCTTACCTTATTTGGGAAGTTTCAGGTCAGTGAGAGGTCCTGTCTCAAAACAAACAAGGTAGATTGCTTCTGAGGAATAACATATGAGGTTATTCTCTGACTTACACACTCATGGACACACACACACACACACACACAAACGTATATGATTTTAGTCACATTTCCTTATTTGAAATCTAAAAGTCTAGAGAATGGAACATATATGGTAATGTGGGGATGTGAGGAGAGCTGAGGCTACCAGGACAGGGTGACTTGACTGTGTAGGACAAGGCCTACAGAGTATTGAATCCCTATATCAAGATGGCCATCATGTATTTTGTAAGAGCTGTTTACCTTTGGTTTGTACAATGAAAGCAGCTTGGGCCTGAGATTAGGACTGACAGGAAATAAAATGACATTTATGAGCCTGGAACTGGAGAGATGAATCTAGCTAAACATGAAGAACCCAGAGCTATCTATGTTGACTGAGAAATTCCAAATCCAAACTGACCAGGGAGCAGAGGGGACCCTCTTCCCTCTGTAGAAATAACTGAACTGTGAGCTCTACTTTAAGTGGACACAATTTTGTCAGAATCGAGCAGAGGTGTCAGTGTTAACCTGGCCCCTTTCTATGACTGAAATGAAAGTTTTACCAGGGAGCAAGCTCATTGATTCAAGTCATCTCACCCTGTACCAAACACTCTTTCCATTCAATCAATGGAATTACAGTTCCAGAGGGCAATGACTCCTCTTTCCTGAGAGACATTCAAGTCATTATTTCCTTCTTTTCTTCTTCCTTCCCTCTCTCCCTCTTCTTTCCTCCCTTTCTCTGTCCTTCACTTTCTTTTCTCCGTGTCTTTCCCTGTCTTGTCCTTTCCCTTTTTGGTGGTTGTACTTTTTGCAAGAATACTATGTGATCTGTAGGTGGCTCTTAGAACTGTATTGTTTTGTCCTATTGGCATGTATAATTTGAGTAGATGGTTGGATAAATAATTTATTGAAAGTATGTAAGATCCAGAGTTGGCTGTGCCCTGTGGTCTTGTTGATATCTGAGTTTCATAAGGGAAATTGTTGTTTGAGGGATGTTGTAGTGGCTGCCCAATTGTTTTAATTGAATAATAACCAAATGGAATGAGCCATGACAAGATGTATTGCTGTGTGCCTATGCCCATGGCACCTGTGTGGAAACCTACTTGTGTAACCTGCAGGCAAACAGCATGTTTCCTGGAGTGAGATGTTGAGTGTAATGCAGACATTTGGTAATTTAACACTTCAGTGTCTGTGTGGTATTCAAAGGGTGCTCAAAATGTGAATAAAAATAGATACTATGTGGTGCATAGTTACTTACTATGTATGGGATTTACTAAGTGAACAACACATTCTGAGCTGGCTGAGGTACTCCTTTCCATTGTTTAATTGCCTGGCTTGTTAAGGTGTGTTAGTCCTGCCCATGCCAGGGGCCCCTTTACCTCAAGTGCAGCTCCAGCTGAGTGTAGAGGAAGTGAAGAAATGCCCGCCTGGCCACAATTTCAGCGTGGCAGTCGTTGACAACGAGCCCTTGGTCACTGATGTGCTCACCGCTGATACACTTGGTCCCAGAGGACAGGACGATGACCTGCGCTTGTTTGGTGTCCAAGCCTAGGGGACACAGAGGGTGGTCAGAACAGCTTAGGCTTCAAGGACCCCACTGCAGCTACAAGCTTTGGTGTTTATCTGGCTGACATTAATGGTAGTGTGATGATTGCTCTTGACTGTTAACACCTAGGAGACTTGTGAGACATGCCTCAGGGTATATTTATGGATCTGTTTCCAGAGAGGACCATCTGATGGAGAAGTTTTGTTTTGGATGTGATGGCACCATCTCTTAGGCTGGGAACCTCCATGGAGCAAAAGGTGGTGACAAAGAAAGTGGAGTGTGGATAGTCTCCTTTTCACTGCTTCCTAGCCCACTAGGGCGAAAGTTTCTCTATCCTATTACACCATCCTAGACACGATGGACTGAAATCTCGGAAACCATGGACAAAATAAATAATTCCTCCCTTTAAAATGTTCTCAGCCATGTCATCGCAGCCATTCAAAAGTTAGGTCCCAGGCTGACAGATGTCAATCTGAGATATTCAGACTGGGGGCAGCTTAAGTTTTGCCCCAGTGGTGGCTGCTGACCTGGTGGGAAATAAGGGTTTCCTTCTTTCCTTCCTTCCTTCCTTCCTTCCTTCCTTCCTTCCTTCCTTCCTTCCTTCCTTCTTTCTGTGTAGCAGAAGCTTGTGGAAATATTGACATCAGAGAGAAAGGAGTGACAATCATAGGCAAACCTATCTCTGGGGGAGAAACTGGGCCATTGCAGGGGTTCCTGTTGAGACTTTAAAATGGAAGAAGTCGGGCTCTTAGTCATGTGAGCGATAACAATCCAAGTTCTACCACAAGAAATTCTGCCACAGGTCCTTGCCCTCCACCATGACCATATCTTCACTGAGAGATTCGCCGAGACAGAAGTGTGCAGAGAGGAGTGAACAGAAGGCGGGGAGGGCATAAGAAGGACTCCTAGGCTGGGCTCTGCTTTGCAGACACATCTGTATTTTTAGTGGAGAGGTGACCCAAAGTATGGTGTGAATATATGTCCTTCACGTCCTCAAGTGTTTGCAAGCTCACTCCTTAGGTGGCAGTGCTGTTTGGGAAGGTTGTGAAGCAGTTAGGAGGCGGAGCAGTCTCACTGGGGGAAGTGGGTCACCAGGGACAGACACTGAGATTGCATAGCTGCCTCCACCTCCTATCCATTCTATGCTTCATGACCTAGGGTGCATGACCAACCATCTCTTGACACTGTGCCTTCCTGCCATGATTCACCATAGCCTCTGGAACTATATGGCAAGTAAAACTTCCTTTCTTACATTGCTTCTTGTCAGCTATTTTGCTGTAGCAATCATAAAAGTTATTAGTACACAGGGTGTTGGGTAGACACCTGTGCAAATGTGAAGTCTACAGACATTGGCTTTTATTTCGTTGAGTAGTGGAATTCAGATGACATCATTCCTTCACTTTCTACCCAAAATGTACTTCTCTCTCTAAGGCCAGCTGAACTCTGCCCTTTGTTTTCCTTAGCACACTCTTGAGCACTGTGGGAGCACATGCCTTTCAACGTCTCATACCTCAGTAGAGTAATCCCTGAAGCTGAAACAAGGTCCAGTTGTTCACAATACTCAGAGTGTGTGGTTAGTGTACAACTTGTCCCTCAGGAGCAAGGTGAAAAGTGGGGCATGGCCGTGGGGCTGATGTTTAGGCCTCTCAGGGCACAGAGGTATGAAGGCTTATGATACAGCACAGAGTCAAGTTCAGAACATGTCCCCTCCATAGTCACATTTCACAGGCTGGGGCTGGGGCTGGGCTGGGGCTGATGAAGTGGGGCCTGAGGGGAGATCCCTTCTGTAGGCTATCCTGTTTAAGGTGGGGCACCTTCTCAGCAGTGAGTGGTTAGTGCAGACAGAATGACCAGTCCCACCCCAAGGCTTCTGCAATTGGCTGCAGCCTGGAGAAGGAACTTTGAGCTGTGCCCACGGCAATTGCTTGGGATCTCGGCTTGGCGCTGAGTTCATTCTGGGGACTGTGATTTAGGGACACATGTCTATAAGTACTCATCATACATGGTACTGTCCTACAAAAGAAAATTTAAAAATATTTCTTTGACAGTTTCACATATATGTATATGTATATGTATATATATAATATATCCCAATCACATTGATTTCTTTACCATTTCTTATCCCCATTTGAGCCACACCAACCTCACTTTTTTTCTGACAAGGCTCTACTGTCCCACTTTTATGTATTTTTTGTTTTGTTTTTGACTTATTTTGTGACCCACTGAATTTAATCAGGGCTGAATGGGTATCTACTAGAGCATGGGCACTCATCAGTAGGTACCCACTAAGGACAATGACTTCTCAGCCCCAAGCAGTCATGTACTGCCAAGATATCGCAGGGAGGGGCCAGCTCACTTAAGTCCCTCCCATATGTTTGATGGACTATTGATGGGTCCACTCTTGTGCAGGTCCTGTGCAGGCAACTGCAGCTGCTGTGAGTTCACCTGTGCAATGGCCAAGTCATGCCCAAAAGACAGCATTTTATGGTTCAGTATTTTATGCAAAGAACATCTTTTTTATTTTTGGTTTTACGAGACAGGGTTTCTCTGTATTGTTTTGGAGGCTGTCGGTCCAGCCTGGCCTCGAACTCACAGAGATCTGCCTGCCTCTGCCTCCCGCCTGGCTGCAAAGAACATCTTAATGTAAGTATATATTGTGCATTTGATATACTATATCCTCTTCCCTCACTGTTGTCATCACTCTCTCTGCCATTAATGCCCATTGTCTCCCTAGACACTTCTACTTCTATTTTATGATATATATGTACACACACACACACACACACACACACACACACACACACACACGTGTGCACGCGATTTTAGGTATCCATATAAAATCTATACTTACTGAATCTTATACCTAAGAATAATGTCACAAATTCATAAGAACAAAGGAAATAAGAGGAGGTTCATATTGGAAATTGTAAAGCTTTCTCCCTCCTCCAGGAGATACAGGATAGATGGGAGGAAGCAGCTAACAGAACTTCCTTCTGCTCACATCCAGCAGTTTCTATGTCTGAGAGGCAAATTTCCTAATTCTGAGGTTACATAGAGGTACCAAAGGGGAAGCCCCAAATTATTTCTCTCCTTTCTGGCCTATCGAGGAGTCACACACCTGGGAACTTGTAGAACAGCTAGTCAGCAGTGACAAACTACAAGAGACCCTGTTTCAAACAGGATTGAAGGCTAGGACTGTCAACTCAGGTTGTCCTGTGACCTCCATAAATCTTCCATGGTGTGTCTGTATACACACAGACACACACAGAGAGACACACACACACACTCCCACACACATACACGCTCACACACACACAACACAGAGTGAGAGAGAGAACTCCCTGAATAACCAGTTTCCAACCTAAAAATGGGGGCTACTTTCATCCTACCCCACTTTGCTGCCTCTGATTAGATCAACTGTTAGGAATAGAAAAATTGTCTGTACTAAAATGAAAAAAAAAACACTGGACATTTTCATGACTTATTTTTCACAAGGCAATGCCCATTTACTCATAGCCAAGGGAGCTTTGTCAAAAAAATGGCTCCCTGGAAACAAATTCTTGGAAACAAATTCCAAATTTAGTCTTTAAAATACAATAAGGACTACCCTTGTTTGAGCTGACCCCAGAAGACTACGAATCAAAGATTATTCTTTCTCCTGCCCTCAAGGATACAAGTGTGAATATACATATTCTCCTCACTTTGATGGTGAATTCCTTGAGACTAGAAATCATAATTTCCATGAAATCCTCAGTGAAGGGGCTCCCTAGGAGTCTGTGTAATTAGAGAGATTACTCCAGTCCCTGTTGGAGAGTCCATACAATCTCCTGCAACTGGAAGTTGGGCATGCGACTGAGATGCCCCCCAGCTCTTCTCTCTATGTGAGCACACTGCTGCTTGCCTAGTTTTGGATTCTGTGTGGTGTGTGGTCGGTGCTGAGTGCTGGCTTAGCCTCAGATTTTACTGGACTCTGTTAAATCCTTTGATAAATTTATGTATGAACCATTTCTTTAAAGAGATGATATGCAAATTGGGCCCCCCAGTGGAGCAGACCTTCCATTTTTAATAGGATTTACTTTTCCACGTGCAAACAGTGCTGAGAACCTTGATACAGACTTGTTCTAAGTTGAGAATTGTTCCATTGAGAACTAAATCCTGAAGTCAGAGTGACCTCTGTCTGCATTTCCATCCCCAGCTTGGATCTTTCTTTGTAGGACAAAACAGGGACCAGATAGGGAGGAAAGGGACAAATACTTGGCTTTGTGTGTGTGTGTGTGTGTGTGTGTGTGTGTGTGTGTGTGTGTGTAGGGTCAGATGGAAGCCTGAGGGATGGTGGACAAGGAAGGCAAATGTATGTATTGGCTGCAGTTAGCAAAGGTTACCCTACTACTCATGCTATAGCCTCCATGGGAGCTGACTGTGCTGCCTTCTAGACAGCTCCCTGAATGGAAAAAAGAAATAAAAAGGAAAGGAGTATGACTGCACCTAGTATGGTGGAGGAGAAGGTTTATTGTAGATATGTGGGAGAGCATAGGCAAAGGCAGGGACATCTGGGAAAGTCCAGAGTGAACATGACCGGACTGAACCATCTGAGGAGAGGAGGAGCAGAAGGAGGAACAGAAGGAGGAGAGGAGAGAGGAGAACCAGGTTCAGCAGCCAGGAGGCCCAAAGGTACAAAGAAAGGAGTAACCAAAATGATCAAATTACATCGGGCTGGAGAGTTAGGGTAGGGAGGTAGGAGGGCCTCTTAAGAGGTAGAGACTGAGGGATACAGGGAGAACCTGGTGACAGGAGTCCACTTTGGTATGTTAAATAGACATTTCGCCATTTGTCCCAGCTTTGAAACACTCTCCAGCTTGGTCTGTCCCTTTCCTCCTTCGTAAGCCAGCCTCCCCTCACACACTCACTGCCTCCCACCCACTTCCTTTGCTCTCCTGACTCTGGTAACTTCCATTTCTTAGGAGCACTCAGGTGTCCAGGATCAGTTGTCTTTCTACTGTCT